CCTCCTCTGCATCATTCACTGCCTTTGCGGTGAGGCCACCCTGACCACCATATTTAAAGTTGCACTCCCACTTCCTATGTGCCCTTTCCTATGTGCGGACGGCTGGATGGATGTGTTGTCCCTGCCCAGGGTGAGTGGCTGGCTCCGTGCCCCTTGAGGCCTTTGCCCGCCCCCTCCCCAGCACACGAATGATCTCCACCCGATCTACTCCCAGTCTCAGCTTCTCTGTGATTACCTAGCCTTTTCCTCCTCACCGCCACCCCCGTCAAGGCCAGAGTCTCTGTCAGGGGCACAGTGCTGAGCAGCAGAGAGGGCCTTGCCTAGGAAGCCAGGCTGCCTCCTCTCCCGCCCTCCCTGGGGAGCCCCCCTTCCCGGGGTGGCTGAGCCGGAGAGGCTGAGACACAAATACTGAAGGAAGCTGCAGAGAGGAGTATTAGCCTCAACAAAACTTAGAGTCTTGGCAGCTAAATTCAAATCAAATGTGATTTTGATACCAATTCAAACAGCCTAGGCAGAAGAGCTAAGGGATTTTCTTCTTGAAAGCATAAAAGGAATGGAGAAGACGTCTGAATTCTAACAGCTGAGAATTACTGAGATGAGGAGAGATTTGGGGAATCAGAAAAAGTCTACTTGGAGCAGCCTCCCTTCCCGGATGGCAAAGGGAGTGCCAATCACGGCTGCCATGGCAACAGGTAGGCGCCAAATGCCAGCACAGAGAGGAGCCGAGAGCGTGCCTTCCCACAAAAATGCCACAGTTATTGTTCTAGCAGGAAGGATGGAAGTCATGTCCACACATCACCCCACATCCCCAGAGTCACCCCCCAAGGCCTAAAAGTGCTCTCTATGACCAGAAGCATTGGAAAGAACTGACACACAGCTCACTCAACACACACCCCACACACACACACATACACACACCCATTTCCCTTCTGCTCCAATTCCTGAAATTTAGTGGCTTAAAACAACAAACATCAATTTATTATCCTCATTCTTTTGTGGGTCAGGAATGCAGGAGGGTCTTGGCCAGGTGGTCGGGTGGGGGGCCTCTGCTGCTGTTGTGGCTGATGGCTGGAGCAGGTGGCTGCCAGGTGTCGCCCTTCACATAAGCTTGGGGCCTGCTGAGGTGTGTGCTGACACAGACACAAGTGCCTGCCTGAGGCAGAAGCTGCACGTGGCCTCTTCAGACCTGGTCCCGCACCATGTAGTGTCACTCTGCCACCTGCTACAGGTTATTTGAGGGAGTGGCAAGAGGAGGGAAATTAGACCCCTCACTTGACCAGGCAGTTGCAAAATTCTGAAGGGACAGTGAAAGAGGAGATGCCATGTGGCCACCCTGCCCTCATCCTTGGAGAGGAGCGTGGAACTGGGAATGCGGTGAGGGAACACAGTGCCAGAAGGAAGAGAAAGCAACTTGTCAGCACTTTCTGGTTTGATAGCAAGGGTGAGAGCATTACAAGGGGAAACAAGAAGAATACATGGAATGGAGTTTTAAGAGCTCTAAGAACCCTCCCCACAACCTAGAAAATGAATCTGAAAGCCTGGAGGCAGTATGAGTGCTCACCAAGGAGGGAGGGTGCTGTGTGGGGGTGGAGATGCCTGAGTACAGTAGCACTACCCAGGAGAAGATTCTGCCATAACAGAAATGTCCCACATCTGCCTTGTTGGGTACAGAAGCCACGAGCCACATGTGGTTCTGAGCCCTTGAAATGTGGCTAATGCAAGTGACGAATTGCATTTTAACTTTTATTTCATTGTAATTAAATGTAAACTTAGCCATGTTTGGCTAATAGCTATCATATCCAACAGTGTGGGTCTGGAATTAAGTATCTCAGTCAACAAACCAAAACCCAAAACTGTGGCTGAAAGGAGAGAAAAGTATAGAGAGTGGCCCACCTGAAGCCCACCTCCCCACTGGCAAGACAGCTCTCGGGTTTGCCTCTACACACCTTTCAGAAGAAAGCAGAGAGAAGTTCAACAATAAGGGCTGATTCAAGGTGACAGTCTCATAGGGCAAACAATAACTTATTGCAACACTCTCCTGGAAGAGTTTGCCAATGCAATTAAATACGTGGCCAGGCGCAGTGGCTCCCACCTGTGATCCCAGCACTTTGGAAAGCCCAAGGATCACTTGAGCCCAGGAGTTTGAGACCAGTCTAGGCAACAAAGTGAGATCCTGTGTTTACGAAAAATCTTTGAAAATCAGCCGAGCATGGTGGTATACCCCTGTGGTCCCAGCAACATTGGAGGCTGCGTTGGAGGATTGCTTAAACTTAGGAGTTCAAGGCTTCAGTGAGCTATGATTGCACCACTGCACTCCAGCCTGGGCAACAGAGCAAGACTGTCTCAATAAAAAACATACATACAAATTGGAAAGGAGGAGACAAATTTATCATTAAAAATAATGGTATGGTATCACTGGGTAAAGATTTTTAAAATACTAGAAACAAGCAAATTTATTAAGGTAGTTAGCTAAAAAATTAGCATATCAAAATCAATATCTTTCTTTTATATAAAACACAAGCAGCTAAAAATATAATAAAAGGAAAGAGCTCATTCTCAATAGCAACTGAAAATATAAAATGCCTAAGGAGAAAAAACTTAAGAGATGTGAAGGCCTTACATGCAAAAACTATAAAGCTCAACTAAGACATAAAATAAGATAGAATAATTGGAAAGTCATATCTTCTTATTGAATAGAAAGACTTAAAGTTGTAAAGATGTCAATCCTCTCTAAATCAAAATTCTAATTGAATTTTTTGACAAAAAAAACTCAATTGAACTTGACAAAGTATTCAAAATATGAACAGATACATCAATGGAGGAGAATAGAGTATCCAGAAATAGGCCCATGAATATGTGAGTGTTTAAACTCTGATAAAAATGGCATGAAAATTGAAGAAATGATGGATTGTTTAATAAATGGTATTGGGATAGATGTGTAAGCATTTGGAAAAAAATAAAGCTGAATCTCTACTTTCTTATACTAAAAAGAAAAAAATCCAAAAGTATCAAAATTCCAATGTCAAAAATGAATCTAAAAATGTAATAGAAGAAAACGTGGGTGAATTTTTTTATCCTGGTGTGAGAAAAAGTCTTTCTAAGCATGACAAAAAGCCCAGAAGCCAGAATGGAAAAGACTGATTGATTTGACTGTGTAAAAGTGTAAGACTTCACTTCAGCAAAATACCCATTTAAAAACATAATAGACACACTGGGAAAAATTAGTTGCCATCCAGAAGCTAGACAAAGGTCAAATGTCCTTAAAATACAAATTACTCTCATAAGTCATATGGAAAAATTATAACACAATAGAAAAATGGGTGAAGTAGATGGGCAAGTAATTTATCAAAGAAGAAAATCAAATGCTACCCTCCAAAAACAGACATATGGAAAAAAACTCAGTTTCACTACTAATAAGAGAAACACAAATTAAATTAGAATATATTATATCATCACTTCTATGGGAAACAATGAAAAAGACTAGATACCCATTGCTGGTAAGGAGCTCAGGGAAGGTGGGTATACAAACAAAGACAGCTTTTCTGGAGGGTCGTTGGTGACAACTAACATAATTGTAATTTTCAAAACTTTATCTGGCAATTCAAATTCTAGGAATTTATCTTACATCCACACTTACTCAAAGATGCATGGGCAAGACTGCAGCTTTGCTTGTTATCATAGAATTTGCAAAGCAAAACAACAAACATCAAATGTCTAGAGGGAATTAGATTCTCCACTACAGCAAGCCCATCCCTGGTACAAAATAACATGTGGCCAATATGCATTTGCTCGGGAAAATGCACAACACACACTGATAAGAGAGAAAAGGTTGGAAGCAACATGGTCCAGGGTTGGAGTTGTTCAGTACAGCACCCTGCCACCTGCAGGGACCACTCCAGCCTCCCCTTGCTCTGTTCTCTTCCTTTCTCTATTTTGTGCAGGTCCCAATTACCTCCTGAAGACCTTCAGAGCACCCAGCTCTGAGCACCTCAGGTGCCAGCTGCCCAGCCTATGTGTGGCCTGCTTTGCCTCTAGCCCTGCAGGTGGACTTTTCTTTAGTAGCAACTCCTCCAGGCTACCTTCCCTGACCACAGCTCCTCACCCATCCCTCCCTCTCTCCCACTACACCTTGAATATTTTCTTGATAACATCAATACAAGGCAAGCAAGCCTCAAAATTGGGACTTAGTTGGGAAGGGTTCTTGGCTTCACCCAGGAAGGAACTCAAGGGCAAGTCAGTGATGTTAGACAGCAACTTTTATTAAAGCAGCAATGCACAGTGGCAGCAGAGATACTGCTTCTTGTGAAGTGAAGCAAGGCCACCTCATAGGCAGTATGCCCAGAGCAGCAGCTCAGAGGCAGCCCGGCAGTCATGTTTATATCCCCTTTTAATTACATGCAAATTAAGGGGTGGATTATGCAGACATTTCCAGAAAAAAGGTAATAACTTCTGGGTTATTGGGTAGTTGCTATGGAAAGGGGCAGTAACTTCCAGGTGTTGCCATGGAAACAGTAAACTGACATGTCACACTGGTGGACATGTCTTATGGATGGCTTTTCTCACCTGTCCCTGTTTCAGCTAGTCCTCATTTTGTCCTGGCACCTAGGTCCCACCTCCAGAATCAAGTCCCATCTCCTACCTTAGTATATGTCACTATTTAAACTTTCATTTATTTGCTTGTTTGGTTGTTCACAGTCACTTTCTCCCTAATGCAGTCTCCACGAGGGCTGGAACCATACCTGGCTTATCATCTCCAAAGATCACCCTCATGCTTAGAATTAGAACAGCCCAAGCCCGTAGGGCTGGCTCCCTGTCTGCCCTCACCCTGCCCCTCTGCTGCCACCCTCCCCATCCCTGACTTCACTCCAATCATGCTGGCTATATTAGTCTGTTCTCCTCCTGCTATGAAGAAATACCTGAGATTGGGTAATTTATTTAAAAAAAAAAAAAAGAAGAAGAAGTTTAATTGATTCACAGTTCCAAGGACTCAGGAAACTTACAGTCACGGTGGGAGGCACCTCTTCTCAGGGTGGCAGCAGAGAGAATGAGAGCTGAGCAAAGGAGAAAGCCCCTTATAAAACCAGCAGATCTCATGAGAATTACTATCATGAGAACAGCATGGGGGAAACTGCTCCCATGATTCAATTATCTCTACTTGATCCTGCCCTTGACAAATGGGTATTACTATAATTCAAGGTGAGATTCGGGTGGGACACAGAGCCAAACCATATCATTCTACCCATGGTTCCTCCCAAATCTCATGTCCTCACATTTCAAAACAAAATCATGCCCTTCCAACAGTCCCCCAAAGTCTTAACTCATTCTAGCATTAACTCAAAAGTGTAAGTCCAAAGCCACACCTGAGACAAGGCAAGTCTGTTCCTCCTATGAGCCTGTAAAATCAAAAGCAAGTTAGTGACTTCTTATATACAGTGGAGGTACAGGCATTGGGTAAATACGCCCATTCCAAATTGGCTAAAACAAAGGGGCTACAGGCCCTATGCACATTTGAAATCCTATAGGGCAGTCATTAAACATTAAAGTTCCAAAATTATCTCCTTTGACTCCTTGTCTCACATCCAGGTGGCACTGATGCAAGATGTGGGCTCCCATGGCCTGGGGCAGCTATGCCTCTGTGGCTTTGCAGTGTACAGCCCCCAGCTTGGCTGCTTTCACAGGCTGTACACCGGTGAGTGTCTGTGGATTTTCCATGTTAATGGTGCAAGCTGTTGGTGGATCTACCATTCTAGGGGCTGGAAGACAGTGGCCCTCTTCTCACAACTCCACTAGGCAGTGCCCCAGGAGGGACTCTGTGTGGGGAATCCAACCCCATATTTTCCTTCTGCACTGACCTAGCAGAGGTTTTCCCATGATGGCTATGTCCCTGCAGCAAACTTCTGCCTGGACATCCAGGCATTTCCATACATCCTCTGAAATCTAGACAGAGGTTCCCCAACTTCAATTCTTGACTTCTGTGCGCCTACAGGCCCAATATCATGTGTAAGCTGTCAAGGCTTGGGGCTTGCACACTCTTGCACCCTTGTCATGGCCCAAGCTGTATCTTGGCCCCTTTTAGCCACAGATAGAGCTGAAGCAGCTGGGATACAGGGCACCCACCATGTCCTGAAGCTGCAAAGAGCAGGGTGTCCCTGTGCTCAGCCAATGAAACCATTTTTCCCTCCTAACCCTCCAGGCCTGTGATGCCAGGGGCTGCCATGAAGCTCTCTGACATGCCCTGGAGACTTTTCCCCCATTGTCTTGGTGATTAACATTTGGCTCCTTGTTACTTATGCAAATATCTGCAGCCAGCTTGAATTTCTGCCCAGAAAATTGGCTTTTCTTTTCTTTTCTTTTTTCTTTTTTTTTTTTTCTTTTTTTCTTTTTTTTTTTTTCTTTTTTTCTTTTTTTCTTTTTTTTTTTTTTTTTTGAGACGGAGTTTCACTTTTGTTACCCAGGCTGGAGTGCAATGGCACCATCTCGGCTCACCGCAACCTCCACCTCCTGGGTTCAGGCAATTCTCCTGCCTCAGCCTCCTGAGTAGCTGGGATTACAAGCATGCGCCACCATGCCCAGCTAATTTTTTGTATTTTTAGTAGAGACGGGGTTTCACCATGTTGACCAGGATGGTCTCGATCTCTTGTCCTCGTGATCCACCCGCCTCGGCCTCCCAAAGTGCTGGGATTACAGGCTTGAGCCACCGCACCTGGCTGGCTTTTCTTTTCTATGCCATCATCAGGCTACAAAATTTCCAAAGTTTTATGCTCTGCTTCCTCTTGAATCTTTACTGCTTAGAAATTTCTTCCACCAGATACCCTAAATCATTTCTTTCAAGTTCAAAGTTCCACAGATCTCTAGAACTGGAGCAAAATGTCACCAGTCTCTTTGCTTAAGCAAAGCAAGAGTCACCTTTATTCCAGTTCCCAACAAATTCCTCATCTCCATCTGAGACCACCTCAGCCTGGACTTCATCATCCATACCATTAGTATTTTGGTCAAAGCCATTCAACAAGTCTCTAAGAAGCTCCAAACTTTCCCACATCTTCCTGTCTTCTTCTGAGCCCTCCAATCTGTTCCAACCTCTGCTTGTTACCCAGTTCCAAAGTCACTTCCATGTTTTTGGATATCCTTATAGCACCACCCCACTCTCTGTGGTACCAATTTACTATATTGGTCTGTTCTCATGCTATGAAGAAATACCTGAGACTGGGTAATTTATAAAGAAAAGAGGTTTAAATAACTCACAGTCCCACATGGCTTGGAAGGCCTCAGGAAACTTACAATCATAGTGGAAGTCACCTCTTCTCAGGGTGGCAGGAGAGAGAATGAGAGCTGACCCAAGGGTGAAGCTTCTTATAAAATCATCAGACCTTGTAAGAACTCACTATCATGAGAACAGCATGGGGAAAACTGCCCCCATGATCTGATTACCTCCATCTGGTCCTGCCCTTGACGCGTGGTAATTATTCAAGGTGAGATTTGGGTGGAGACCCAGAGCCAAACAATATCACTGGCTTTCTTCTTCCTCAGCCACACAGAGACCCTATTTCTGAGCCATCCACCTGAGCACCAGCCCCCTCCTGAAAACACTTACATGCCTCTTTCCTCACTCTGCCTGAGGCATATCTAAAATAGCAGCTGTTGCCTCCAGGCCCTGGTTTGCCTGTCTCCCCACACTCCTCACACCTTTTCTTTCCCCTGCGGGTTTGACCCCTGTTCATCTGCTGGCACTGAGCACCATGAGGGGGATCTTGGTTCTGTTGCTGTTATGTCCTGTGCCTTGAACAGTGCTAGGCACAAACCCACTCATTTGGGCCTCACAACCAGTTTAAATTCAGCTTCTTTTTTTTTTTTTTTTTTTTTTTTTTTTTTTTTTTTTTTTTTTTTTTTGCCCAAACAGTGACCTAATTGTCCTGATAACTTTTTTCTTTAATCCACCTTTCCCCTTTGGTTGGAAATGCCACTTCCATCCATATTGAATCCATATGGGTCTGGGCCTATGTGTGGCTTTCTGTTCTGTCCCACCAATGTGCCTTTCTCTGCTAAGCTGTCTCCATTCTTCCTCTCTACTATCCCTTACTGACAACCAGTACTCACAAGGCACTGGCTCAGATGACACAGCAAAGAATGGGACAGATGTGTGCCAGCTCTCCAGGAACTTGCATGGGTCCCTAAAATACAGAGGGTGCCCTGGACACCCTGGGACGAGGGTGGAGGTGATGGATAAAGATGGAGATGCATGTGGAGAACAACCTGGAGCCACAGCAGCCTCTGAGAGGGAAGTGGCTACTCCACGTTGTCAGAGGCCTCCTAGCAGGAGTGTGGAGCACAGACAGGAGTGGGGGCACTGCAGGCAGATGCAGTGAGAGGGTGCACAGGGAAAGAGCCTCAGTGAGAATTGAGTGGTGACACTGGCTAGAAGGTGGGAGTAGGAGGATTGAGAGACATCTGGAAGTAGAATTGCTGAGACTTCATGATTGTGTCTGTTAAAGAAGTAGGCTAGGTGTGGTGGCTCATGCCTGTAATGGGAGGCTGAGGTGGGCAGAACACCTGAGGTCACAAGTTTGAGACCAGCCTGGCCAACATGGTGAAACCCCATCTCTACTAAAAATACAAAATGAAAGGGGTGTGGTCACACATCACTGTAGTCCCAGCTACTCAGGAGGCTGAGGCAGGAGAATCACTTGAACCCAGGAAGTGGATGTTATAGTGATTCGAGATCACCCACTGCCCTCCAATCTGGGTGACAGAAACTGTGCCTCAAAGAAAAAAAAAAAAAAAAAAAAAAAGAAGGGAGTATGGAATCCACACACTGAGGTGGAAGCCCAGGACCCTGCCTGAGAAACTGGATGGGCAGGAGCCGTTCCCAGGGACAGCCAGAGGGTCACATGTGTGCGAAGCCTGAGAGGCCTATACGACACAGCAGGCACTTAGAAAAGGTGTCTGGTGCTCAGGGGTGAGAGCCTGGCTGGAGCTTGGGGATTGGGAGCTCACAGCCCCTGCATGGATGGGAAACAGTCAGCTAAGGGCAGTGTGCAGAATGAGAAGAGAACGACGGGGGGATCTGAGGCAGAGCCCTGCAGACACCCCAGAACGCCAGGGGCTGGCAGAAGTGTTGCACCATCAAAGAGGCAAATAAGGGCTAGGTGGGTTGATGTCATTCAAGCCAAAAGTATGGGAGTGGCCATAAGGGGAAAAGCTGCACGTCTGAGATGCAGAAGCTGCACTATGGAGGGAGTCAGTTTGTGCAGACATTGGAGCTGCTGCGTCAGGCCTGGACTGCATGCATAGGCAGTAGAGAGAACTCAACCATCATGTCACCCCTATATTATTTTGGATTTCACTGAAGCTTCTGAGAAGTCAGCTAATACAAGAACTTAGGAGCCACTCACGTTAGTAGCATATAGTTGCTACTAACTGTATGCTATATGGTGGCCCTAAGACAGGAGAATTTTAGGGGGTGAGGTGAGACAGCCCCTAATGGAGGATGAAATGAGTTGAAGAATGAGGAATAGAGACCGTGAGTGTAAAAGCTCTTTCTAGAAGTTTGTCGTGATGGCACCAAGATTTGAGAGTGCTTTAGCTCCCTCTCCCATAGTCTCCAACATCCCACAACAGTCTCCCCAAGTAAACATACAAGCTGAATAAAAAGCAAGCGTCATATGTCCCTGCTTCCTGCCACCCTGAAGCTCCTCCAAGATTTTTTGAAGATCCCCCAGCTGTGACAGGCGCAGAGGAGGAAACACAATATGGTAGGAGGTGGAGAGGGGGGTGTTCAGTGTAGGGGTGGTCGTTCGAGAGCCCTACCTGGGCTTGGGCTGGGGTGACAGAGTGCAGAGTTGAGGTGCTGAGCCCCAGAGCCAACTGTGACCCCCTAAGGGGTGTCCCTCAGCTTTTCCCCGACTGCTGCATTCAGTGCATGGGGGCACAGTTGTGTGGCAGTCCCCAGTGATGCTGTGGAGGCTGTGCCTGGCCTGGCCTGTTTCCCAACCTCGGGATTCTCCCCATAACCCAAGCTCCATGCCTTCCCCATGGTCCCCACCGTATCAGCCTGACCATCCAGTTCATGCAGTGAGAAGACACCCATCAGCTCTTTCTCTGGGCTAGGTCATGCTCCAGACTGGAGACCAAGAGAGCAGCCAGACATTGAGGGCCCTCAGGGCTACAGTCTCATCCACCATCAACACAGCACAGAAAATGCCAGCTAGAGCCGTGCAAGGAGTTCTGCCAGCATGGAGTGGCCTGGAGCTTCAGCAGGCAGCTGGAGGGCTTCCAGGACATGGTGGCCTTCAAGCTGTCCCTTGGCTAATGGGAGTTGAATGAATTCAGATCTGGGTGTGTTAACATCTGTTTTTGAAAGGACTTGAGGGTCTTCTCCCAGGTCCATTCACCCTTC